CCACACGCTGCGGGAGCACACGCCAGTCTACACACACACACACAGACAGACACACAGACAGACAGGCAGACATAGAGACACACACATACACACACACACACAGACACACACATACATACACACACACACACACACTCAAGCACACGCTGCGCACATTCCTCTTCCTTTGTCCCCTTGCTACTGTTTTGCTTGGACCGCTTGCCGCGGCGGGGGGCACTAGGCGGGGCCCGCTGTCAGCTCTGCAGGGTCCCTCTGGGTCCTTCTGACTGCATATCTTTCACGGCCACGCTTCCTCTGTCAGAAGATGGCATCTCATTAGCCGCAGAGCCCTAAAAACACTACACCACCCTGCTTGTGATGCGACTGTGGATGGAGCTCTTCGGTTTAATTCCTCCCACGGAGGAACTCTATTTTCGGCTAAAAGCCTAAGGAGTAAATGCACAGCCCTGCAGTGTCCCAGGAGGGTCTCCCCACAACCACCACCCAAACATGCAATCATTTCACCCCAAAGTCCCGTTTCGGACTGCTTTCAAACAGAAGCAGTGTTGCAAACCGCAATGCCAGCAGCCGTGCTCAGGGCATTTCCTGCAAACGCATGCTGCTTCAGAGACCTGAAGGTATTCAGCTGTCCCGACATGGACCTGGACGTGGTGGGTGTAAGGTTAGAGGCCCGGGGGTTATTCAAGCCCATCTGCCCCGTCACTGCTTTTCACAGAGGGCAGCACTTAGAGGCAGCTTGACTTCCCCTGCCCTGCGTGCCCGGTCACTTTTACCCGGGCAAGGCAGGGGAACACCTGGCTGTGTGTGCCTGCCTGGGAGGAATCCAGCCTAGCACGCACGTTCTGGTGACACTCCTGCATCCCGCTGCTGCCTCTCCTCTACACTCTGCTCTCTGACCCCCGCTGGGCTCTCCCCTCAGCCTGAGTCAGCCCGATCTTTGCACCTGTGGCTTTTGTGCACCGTGCCAACCCTTCACCAGCCAAGTCAAATCAGATGAGCTGGGGGGGAAACACAGCTGCCATTGGTGTAATATATCCCACTCCAGGAATGCATTAGAGCCTGTTGCCTAATACAACAGGGGTGGAAGGCTAATTGTCTCCCATTCCAACCCGCATCAAACACAAGAAAAGCAAAACCCTGTTTCTGCTGAAGTAAACCAGACTCTGGGTGGCCATGCCAGAGACATTGTTTCTTCCTTTAGAGAAATCTGTCAGAGACAAAAAACTCAAACTGAGAATTTGATTGCAAACTAATGGAAAATTACATTCTCATACCAACAATACTTGAACTCAAGCTGGATCATCAAAACATCCTGAAAAGTTTTGCATGAGGCCTGATGCCAAAATACGTTGTTTTCTTTGTTCTTCTTGGGCAGATGTTGGCCACCACCACAGGATGAGCTAGCCTGGTGTCTCCAATGCCTTCTGCACTATTCAATCCAGCTTTTACACTAAAATTGGATAACCAAGGACACAAAGTGTATGTCCTTGGAGACAGGCTTATCATCCTAATTTTTCCCTCTCTTGTCCAGCATGTGACTGGGACAAACTGATCTGAGGTGGGAGAGGAGGGTGATGTTGTCATGGGTGCAGGAAGGGGCATTTGGGCTGATGTCCCTGGATGTTTGCAAGAGCACTGATAGAGGAGATTATTTCAGGGTAGAGTGTGGAAGGATGTGTGTGCACGTGCAGATTTTCAAGTATTTCCATGTGCCTGAACCATTTCCCCACTCTTCATCCCTCCCTGTTGCCTATCTAGAGATGGCAGGTTCTTGGCTCTTTCTTCCTGGAAAATAAACTGCACCCAGCCAGGCTGCTGGGAATCCCACTGTGCTCCTACACTGGGCATTGTCACAGCTGTGCTCCTGGCTGGTCACATCTGGAGCTGGTGCTGTGCTGGGGATGGTGGCCCACAGACATGGGGAGAACACAAAGGCAAGAGTGCCCAAAAGGAATGAAGTCAAGGCCACCCACCCAGGATACACCACTGGAGGAGAAGAGGGATCTCCCTCACTGCAGTTAGCTCAAGAGGAGATCTAATTAACCTTATTTATAGAGGTATTAAGATGTGAATCCCCAAAAATGCTTGCAAGGCAGAAGCCACAAGTCAAAAGAAGCAGCACAGTTACGTGGGGTGGAGGCATGGAGCATATGGAAAGGGGGTGGGGATTGGAGAAGACCACACTGCTTCATGTCCTGACTTTGTAAACCCAGCTAATATGATGTGAATAATAATGTGAAAGCTAATATTCCGGTCAAACAGCATCCTTATGGTGCAAACTGAAATATATCCCGCTGGAAAACAAGCATCCAAAAGCAAAGGGAGAGAGAGCAAGAGATATTCATTTCCTTTGCAGCAGAGTCAAGGAATCATCTTTTATACGGCCCTGGCCAGAAAAGGCAATTGGTGAAAGAGACTGAAGGGAAATGAATTGTCAAAGGAGGCACATGTTTGGATGATTAAATGTCAATATGTACCTTGAATTAAGAAAAAGGAATTTACACCTCATCTCACTGTGGCAGCAAAAACCAAATTAGAGTCAGACTCTAAATTTGCCAGCCAATAGATACAAATTTGTTTGGCTACCTAAAGGCTTTTTCTGCCCAGAGAAATGCTGAAGAATAAGTTCCCCTGGGTGGGCAATAACTGCTGTGGGCAACTTGAAGCTGCTGAGCTCTGTGAGCCCTCTGGGTTTCTCTAGGCTTTCCTGGCTCCGCTCTCCTGGATCCTGGCCCCAGTGTGCACTCATGGAGTCCTGGTGTGCTGTGTCACGCTGCAGGTCTCAGCTACCTGACAGATGTGCCTGCCTCTGTGCTACTGGGCAGGAACTCTGGCAAGGACTTTGTTATGCTGAAGTTTTCCCATGAGCTTGGCTCCCTCCATCCTCCTGGTCAGCCAGTGCAGCTGTGGATGGACAAAGCACAGATGTACCTCCTCACTGCTCCTGGCACGTGACAGAAGTTGCAGCCTGAAGATGCTGCCACCTTTCCCTGGCTGCTCCCAGCGGTTGGCCAAAGGGTTGAGTAGTTTGCCCTGGCATGTGCAGGAAGCCTTTGGCAGAAATGAAAGGCAGAATCAAGATCTTAGCAACTTGCAAGTCTGTACTTACCGACAGAACCCGTCCCTCCCGGAGTGCCACAGCAGCGTGGTTCCCTTCTGTCCTCTTGCAGCACCTTACGGTTCTCCTTTCATGCAGTCTCTCTTCCTCGCAGCTTTCCAGGCTGGGGAATGCCCCTCCTGTCCACAAAGGGAAGTGCAGCAGTGAAAGAGTTAAAAGATTCATGTTAATAAATTCAGGCTGTCTTTTCCTCTAGGGCATATTTACATATTAATGGAGGGGAATTGTAATGAACCTGTCTAGGGAGGCTAAAGGGGAAATTATACAAGGTTGGCTGCAAAGGTGGAGGAGGGGAAAATGTTCATTTTCAGTGCTTTCCAACCCCTCAGCTGCAAAAGCATGTGACCAGCCTAGGCTCCAGGGCAGTGCCTTGCCTGGCATGGGACACCCCAGAGTGAACGCAGAACCAGAGGGCAGGTAGCTATTCGGACCCACCTGTGTCCCTCCTGCACTGGCTTCTCCTAGCTAAGTGTCACACTGCTCCAGATGTTATTTTAAGCCCAGGGTCACAACAGCATATTTCAGCAAGCATGTCCCAAATCATCACCCCATCCTCCAAGGCATCCTGACAAAATGCAGCTGCTGGTGGACAGTCACAAGAGCAGCTCACCCACAATTAGTTTTCAGCAGACAATCTCTCAGGGCTTTTCCACAAAACTGTGCTTGGAGCAAGAGGCAAGAGAGCCAAGGAAGGGAATTTGTCCCAGGCTGGGCTGAAGTGCTTACCTATCCCATCCCTGCTCCTTCACACCAGGCTGCTTGAACCCTGCCATGATCTTTGTTGCCTCAAGCCCCAGAGCTCTCTGCATGCCAGCCCAAAAGCCTTTGACAGCACATGAAAGATGCCAGGAGCTTTGCCAGGTCTGTTTTCCCTGCTCGCTGCTGAGGCCTCAGTGTGTAATCCCCACTCCAGTGAACTGCCCTACAGATTTTATCTCAAGAAGAACAAATAATCTGTTGCTTTTGCACTGCAATATCAGATAGAGCTATAAATCACTAGATAGGAGACTAATTACTGTGCTTCTGATCTGATTTAGATTGGAAGATGGAAAAACCAGCCTTTATTCCTGAAAGCAAAGGAGCTTCTTCAGAACAGCAACGGGTGCTCCATGTACCTCAATAGCTACAAATGGTTTATGCCCATGCAAACAAGATCAGGGCAGGACCCACTCAAATTAGCAGGATACAAAGTGGCCTGCAGATTTTCTGCTGCAGATTTGTTTTCCCCCCACATCTCTCTCTCTCTCTGCTTTTTGCCACTGCTTCATCTCTGCTTGTAAAAATCAGCACAGCTCCAGTTACCCTGGGTGAGAAATGTGAGGTCTGATCCAGCACGGTTAGTGAACGGGAGCAAGATTTTAATATGATCAGTGGCTTCTGCTAGGGAAAGGCTGTTCTGCCACAGCCCTAAATGCTGCCTGCAGAAACAGGAGCCTTCCAAAATCCCATGCTGCTTCTTGTTGACCTGCCTGGGAAGTGTGAGGGGACTCCAACTGCAGGGTTTGGAGGTTCATTGCTGGTGGGACTCCTGAGGACTGGATGGTAGGTAAGGGCACGCAGAACTGATGCATCCACCACTCCTGCTCTGAAGGACTTAGGAGCCCAATGTTCCCACAGGTGTGGCAGACTTGTCCCTCAATATCACCCCTCGACAGCACCGGGACCCAGATTTGGGTCCTGGCAGGTGCAGAGCCAGCCTGGCTGTCCCCTGGGCACTGCATCTTCCAGCACCTGGTTCAGACTGGGTGGTGGTTGGTTGGATGCAGGATGATTGCTGAATGTTTCTGCAGCCTTGGTGCACCAGGGTAGCCCACACTGGGAAGCTTCTTCCTGACATAAGAATCTGCACTTGCTATGCTTAACATTTTGTCATTTTTTTATACAAATGTGGTGCTGTGCCCACTGTCACACCCCATCAGCATCCTCCTGCCTTCCACAAAACCCCCGAATCTTCCCCCATTCCAGGTGTCAGGACACACATGGTCTGTGGTCATATTATTACAATGAAGGATTATAAAGCAGATGTATGTGAGGTGGATAAAACAGGCACATGGGTCCCTTAATCCCAGAATTTTAAGTGCCATGGGGATTAGTTTTACATCTTTGGCTGCAGGATTTGGGGATGCAGCAGAGCCAGAGAAGTGAATCTGTGAAAGCAAGTTGATCCCCTCCTCTCAGTTTGCTCTAAGACAAATGCAGTGTAAGGGAGCTGCTTTGAGAACTAGATTGAAGCCGGTAAGGGATGCGGCGTTTTAACCTTTAACGTGGCCTGTGACATTTCGCCTTTAACACACATTATATCCCACATGGCTGTGAAGCCAGGGATCACTCCTGAAAACTCTCCAGCCCTGGTGCAGTATTTAATCATGGGCATAGAGATCCTAGCAGCTGCCTTCTTTGGGGACATCGCTGTTTGCAAGTTGAAAGAGAAATGCCTCGCTTGAAATTCCCAGTGTTTGGTTAAGCATCCGGCCTCAGTGATAGGATTGAAGCTGAGCTTTGAATGACGTTTTTTGCTAGGAAGAAAGGGCTGGGGAAGAGACATTTCTCCCTTGGGCTTAAGATCATAAATAAGGCAGTGTTATGTAAGTGTGACTATAACCTATTTATACATAGTGTCAGACTCATGCACTCAGGCTATGAATGACAAATCTCCCACTAATTTTTATGAATGTAGCAGTGGTACCTGTATGAGTTTTGAAACAGCAGTGGAAATGCAGGCTGTTCTGTGCCAGCAGTAACTGGGACACCCCTCCAAGTTACACTGAGGGAGGGATGACTTGTGTCTGGCATTTCCTCTTTTACAGACACAGAGGTTGCAGTTGGCTTCAGGCAGCTCCCCTGGACCCATTCCTGATCCCAAGGCCCAAGTGGCAGGCACCAGGGGAATGGAAACCTGCCGCTCTTCCTGGGATAAACCCAGTCTCTTGTCCCTCAAGCAGTGACAAAGTCAAGGAAACATCTTGCTGCAGGCCCTGTGCATACTGGGAGTTTACAGGGCGTCAAAAGTAAAAGGATCAGTTCCTGGAAGTAGAGCACATGGGTGGTTACTAAACACAGGGAGATTACTGAGCTGGAACTGTTCAGAAGCCAGAAGTGTAGCTGAACTCCTTCTGGGAGACACTTGTGCTATTTCTGTGTATCTGTCCCTCATACTGGTGTTGCTCAGTGTGAAGTTGCTGAGCAGAGTGGTTAGAGCCAAAGTTCTAACCTCACATAGGCCAACGCAGCCTTAGCTGTGTGTGTGTCTAACCGGGTTGGCATGGCCTGGTGCCTGCCTGGGACCAAGACGATGGCAACTGTATATAAAAAAAATCAAATGAAGATTTATACCCAGAAATTACTCCTGAGGCACAGAGAGCCAGTCGTTGCAATTGTGACAAGACAAAACCCCAAATCAGCTTCAAGTTTAAAGACAGGCTTTTTCCTTCCCCATTGCCTCCCAGTTTGGGCTCTGCCTTGAGCGCTGTCTCCAGCACAGCAAACAATCACACATCCCTCTCATGGGCCCTGTGCCAGCAGCCATGGACCCCAGAGACCTGAGCATCACAGCCATCCACAGGAGGCTGTGGCAAGAGGAGAAAGTCTGAAATCCCTGTGGGGCTTCTTTGTGCCTCTGGTTAATCTCTCTTCTCTGCTCCACAGATGATCTCAGCTCCCGCTGCGACCTGATCACACAAATCTGGCAGGGACACGTGGCCCTGGCTTGTCATGTCCTGCTGTCCCCCGCCAGAGATGAGGCAGCCATAGGGTCAAGTGTGGATGGCCCAGGGGGTCAGAAGTGACCGCAGTTGCTGTGATTTTTTCCTAGACACCCCCTGTGACTGATTCACCTCCTGTCTTGGTGCATCAGGCATTGACTCACACCCAAAATACGTCAGATGATTGTGTCCGTGAAGGTCTTCATGGACTTTGCCCCAGGCATCCCCACTGAACATTAAAGCTGGGCCTTCTTTGAGAGGTGGAACAGATGGCAGACCTTTACTGGCGATGCTCTGTGCCTCCAGAGGAACATGAAATAAGGCTGGACAACCGTCCCAGCCTCCTTCACTTTGCTTCTCAGTGGTTTCCTGTGCCAGTGCGAGGTCTCTCTTGTTTAAAAAAAAAACCAAAACAAGACCACATCTGAGAAAGGCCTGATCCTGCTGCCTTTGCCTTGGTAGCTCCATCAGGGACAGAGGGAAGCGGCAGAGACCTCGGGCTCTCAGGCTGCTGCCAAACATATGCTCTCAGGGCTGAAATCAACTTCTGCAGCAGTTGGCATGCAGTCAGATAGGCACATGCCACAGCCTCGCTGGCAAGAGTTTATGCCCTTGAAAATCTCTCCCAGAAGCTCATTTCTGCACTCTGCTTTGCCCAATGATCTCAATAAAGGGAAAAGAAAGCCTCAGCAGAACAGGAAACACTCTGACAGACTACCTGCCAGCCAGAGCCCATCACTGACCTGGTGACTCTCTGAGCAGCCCTTTCAAAGGGCTTAAGCCACTCCAGGACTGTTGTCAAGCACCAGCAGCAGAAATACAGAAAAAACTCAGTAAAGACAGTAAAGTAGTACAACAGCAGAACAACAAAACCAGTAAAACTATGTGCTCAAAAGTAACGTCCCAGCCAGTCCAATAACATAGGGAGCACCCAAAGGCTGCTCATGCTCCAGCCATAATAAAGAGATGTAAAAAGTCCACCTGGATCAATGACCTGGCTGGAAGGGCAGCTAGCCTGCTTCAGGCAACTTGGAAACAGCATGAGCCTGGGCAAGTGAGCCAGTGCTTCCCAGGCAACTCTTCCCATCCTGTGCAATGTGCCTGGGGGACTTCCTGAGCCAGAGCTGGGATCTGTGCCCCTAATAACCCCTAATAGGTATTTCCTCCATGAATAGGCCTGGGTGCTTTTTGAACTCATGCAAATGTTCAGCATCCACAGCATCCTGCAGCGAGGAGTTCCACTGCTTCATTATGCCAGAGCCATTTCCTTGGGCTTGCTTTGAACCTGACCTCTCCTGGTTTCACTGCCCCTCTCCATTTCTGTCCTGGAAGAGACGGTCATCTTGAACCCATCTCCTCTCAGCTATGGGAGCAGAAGAAATGGCATCTTGCTTCCCTATTTGGGGATATAACAGTATTGCACTCAGTTACCTAATAAGATCAAAGCATAATTCTGCCCACCAGATTGAAAAATATTGCTGTTTTCCAGGGCAACTTGCTTTGTCACACGAAGGATACATTGACCTGTTTCAACTCAGCGTTTGTAGATTGCTCTTCTCCATCAAGACTTGCTACATAATTGTGTCAGGAGATCATCTTTGAGGCCAACAGAGTAGAGCAACATGTTCTTTTCAGGGATTGAAAACGATTTATGGCAGTGAGGGCTCCCCAGGTTGCTGGCTATTCAAGCTCTGTCATTCTGGGCTCTGAGCTCCAGCTCAGTGAGCTCATGGGGTGTAACATGATTAGCAGAGAGGAAGTTGTGTTTTTGTGGAGTGTGGAGTGACATGGGAGCCCATGCACATTTGTGATGGTCTGTGTTGCCAGCACACCTCACCAGTGGCTGATAATAAAGGGAGATGTGGTCAAACAAGCTGCTCTGAAGGCAAAGATGAATGAAAAGGTAGACTCTAGCAAGCTTTGCATAGGAGGCAAAATATAAGGGTGTGACAAGTCATGGGCATACACAAATGGGTATGTCAGGTCTGGGGGTTGTTCTCACCTGTTCTCAGCATCACTGCTGAGAGCCTTCAATACACAGCTCCAGAGACAAAGCCATCTGTTTTGCCATGACAGCTGGCAGCTAGCAGAGGCTGCAATGAATAATC